GGTGCAGGCTGTGTCGTCCCGACTGCGCCTGCTTCCTGGCGGAAACGCGACATAATGCGCCTCGTACCGCACCCCAACGATGACCAACGTGCCGTGAAGAGGGCATCGGCCGCGATGACTTTTTAATCACAACGCACGCTGCAACTTCACCCCTCGAACCTAGAGGCAACGGCTACCAGAGGCTCTCAACCGTGGTCCATTGTCGATTCGGTGCCGGCCTCGGATGGGACGCGAGTGCTCTTGCATTCTGCTCAAGCACGTTTTGTAAGGGATCCTCGTGTACGACATTATTGCACGGACGGAGAGAGGCGTATTCGATGATGTTTCCGCGCGATTGGATAGGATTAGATTTTCTTTAATGAATACTTCGAACGTATTTCCGAGCGGTTAGGAAATTTTGTACGAATCGAGGATGGTATTTTTTTTTTTTATTAGTGGACATTGTTCGATAATAGTAACTTTCACTCTCAATTTTATCCTCAAATGAAGTTATTTAAAATGAAAATAAAAAGGGAATGAAATATTTATTTTTCACTATTTCTGAAAGGAAACGCTTTCTACAAGATATTCTGTTATATGGTAAATATTTTATGGTTTTTATTACTTCATTTCTTTTTAATTTTCGCAAGATTTATTGATTTTCTGATAACTGGGGCGTTAATAAAAGTTCTTATATATTGAGTAAATGAGAAATTTTATCGCTTCTTTTGTAATGGAGAAATAAATAACCATGAAAAATAAGAAAACTTTAGAAAGCTATTTCTGTGGGTAGTTGCAAATGATTTTTGAGATTTAAAAATCTGATTATATAACCTTATTTTCGTAAAACTTGGCCAATTATCGAAACGTTCAAAGATGTTTTTTTTTGTATATTTCTGAAAGCGTGACTTCCCTCTCTTTTACATTTCTTTTCTTTCATAAAAGAAACTACTGATTCTCTTTGGTTACCTATAATATTTCAAATGGAATTGATATTATGTTTCGTAACGTTGCACTCTATCTTTAATACAAGTTCGAAGCAACGTGAAATTGATATTGGAAATCATCGAGACATGTAATTTAACATTCGAAAGAGGTTGAAGAGAAACGATTTACAAAATAATATGGAAATTTATGTATTACCAGTGCGGACATTAAAGGAAGGATTCGAGTCGTACGTATGCATTCCGGTGCTTAGTCCTTCGGTTTTCTAGATAAGAAAAACATCCAGATATTCTGGACCAAAAAATGAAGGTAAGATATTGCTGAAACGCCAAAGATAGATCTCTTCCTCGTGCGTGTTCCGAATGGTTTTCACCGATTAGTCTTTCACCGAGGAAACGAGAGAAACTATATAAGATGTATGTATAGCTGTACGAAAAGGCTCTGATTAAATTCAGGCCGACAACGAGGAGGAATGCTTTACCAAGACGAACGACCGTGGTATATTTCAACTTTACTTTTTCCCTTTTTCAACATTTAACTTATATCCCCTCGATAACGTTAATGGAAAGTAAGTGCGTCTAGATGACTTCACTGAACTGTTTGGAAAAAAAATTATGTTAGGATAATGTTAGTGCTTTCTATTTGCTCTTCGAGATTCGATATTTCTTTAATAATACCTTGCCTTAAAACGAACCAATTAAATTAAATATTTGTTTATACGTATTATTAAAATTCTTTTTCAGATGCAAAAGTCAATATTCACATAATTATCCTTTTGTCATTTTCAAAAAAAAAAAAAAATGGATTCAAATTTTCCTTGATAAAATATTCATTCGCTTATTAATTATTATAACATTTTCTTTTCTTATTATAATACAAGATCGATATTTGTCCGTAAACATATATTTAATAACCTATTCAATAATTTCTATTACTGAATTCTCTATTAAAAATTTTTATTATTTTTATTATTTACTGTAAGCAACGAAAAAAAAAAAATTTCGATTCGATTCGATGTTAATAATATTCCATGATATTCAATATTTCCTTTTGTTTGTAGATCAAATTGATGGCGTGAAACTAGACGCGTGTTACGGGGACCGTCACCATGGATCGATGTTGCTCCATGAAACATCAATTAACATTCCTCTATTTGTTTTGCCATTCCTCTCGTCCCCCGTCCTTTCTCCTCCGTGTATCGACGATTTGTCCGCTTATTAGTTATACGATTAGCAGGTTGCTGCAGCATTCGATTTAGTATACGCGCAGAGGGCGAACAAGCCGAACGTACGTTCCAGGATGTAGTCTATAATCGCTTCCTGTGCTAGCGATTGGACGGTAGCAAGGGGTCGATTGTACGTATCCGTCACGTATACACACAGGGGATGTGTTTCAAGGGAAACGATCGATTCGTCGATCGATATTTCCTGATATAACTTTGTTTCGATCCACGTTCTATCACGATCCACGTTCCAACTCGTGAAAGTCGTGATTCGATGTCGGTTTAATTGGTTTAATTCATCTGACGGAAAAAAAAAAAAAAAAAAAGAAAAAAGGAAACGGATATATTTGAACGCGTATCAATTGTCTATTGCGTAAAAATACGCGTGTTCTTTCTTTTTTTTTTTTTTTTTTTTTTAAACGAAAGTTCAGATGCTTTAAAAACACGTAGTAGTGTAATTAGGTTCGAGGCGAACGTGTCGAATAATTACGTACGTGACAAAACAGAGTTTTATGGAGAGAATTTGATGGTAAGGGGAATGTACATTTTTGAAGATTTTTTTTTTTTGTAGAACATGGCTCGTTAGTAACAATAGAGATTATAAAATTAATCTCTTCTATGTTTAATCAGAATGTAATATGTAAATAAACAGTTAAATTCATTGAATTCGTTGGTTTAATCACTTTTTTGTGTCTAATTATTCATGCAAATAATATTAAAAAAATCCAAAGATTTTTATCAAATTTCCAAATTATATAGAATACAAAAATTACACATCTTTTAAATTTCATACAACTAATATACCAGATATAATAGTTTTAAATATAATAATAATTATAATAATTTTAAAATAATACGATCAAATTTTACGAATTACAAAAAAGTTAATCGCCACGAAATAATCGAGAAACCGGTCGAAGAGACAGTGATTTTTCACACTCGATCAGCTTTTCATTTGGCCGTGTACGTACCGTTAACATCGCCCTCCCACGTAGAATGAAAGGGTTGGAATTTAAAATAAGTTCGCACAATTTCGCACGCTCTGGTAGTCGCGCGATTCGAACGGTTAACAGAAAGAAGAAAAAACAAAAAGATAAATCCTCTAGCCGAAATCCAGTCGAATGGGGCGTATTGGAGGGGTAAATGGAAGGGCAAGGGAAAAGCAGGGTCGAATCAGTGCGAATGGAAGTGGACGTTAGGTCGACCGA